GAACCCGGCATGGATGGATCTCTTCAGTCTTGATCAATGATGGATTATTGTCTTATTGTTAATTAACAAGCAAAAGAAGATAGTGAAGATGTTAGCGCAGTAAAACACAAGTGCATAAGGACAATCCACGATCAATATTTTTAATTTGTAGCGTTGAATAATTGTTTTTCAATTATAATTTATTCTAATATTTTAAGATGGGCAGCGTAGGTCTTACGGTGCAAAAACAATTATTAAATTATCAAAGAAACGTGCCAAAAATTCATTACCAACAATACTGATATTGTCTCAAACTTAGTAATTAAACAATTCGTCATGTTTGGCAAAAGATCTCGATATTAATTACAGCAGAAATAAGATATTTAAACTATTCTTTAAAAAATAAAAATAATTGGTGTGCGATATTTCAACAATAATTAGGGAGGAGGGACTGTCGAGCAGAAGAGTCAAAATGGCGGTGAAACTGAAGGCGTGGCAGCTGTTGCTCCAAATGGCGCGGACAAAAGCCGTCCGTGACGTTTTCAAGGGAAGGGATCACAAACATGCGACACGATATTCCATATTTGTACCTTTGCAATATGTCTTACGTTTCGTCCATACATATGTTGACTTTGACTATTTTATTGATTTATTTTTAACTATGTTATTTGAAACTTGATTTCGATCTTATTTTGTCTTTTGAAACTCAAAACTCAAAAGTCTTTATTTTGCTCTCTAGAGCTCGATTTTAATCTCATTTTGCCCCATAAAACTTCAAAGTCGTCACTTTACTCTCAAAAACTTCGAATTCGATCTCACTTTCCCCTTGACTCTCCAAAGTTGTCGCTTTACTCTCTGAAACTCAATATTAACTCCATTTTGGTTTGTTTCTATGTATGTTGTTAAATAACAGTTAAGTTTACTTATGTAGCATAATTAAGGCACACTTATGACTGACATGGCACAAGTATAAAGCTCACATATCTAATCAAATGGTGTCACATATACTGTAAAAATTTTAATTTCCAAACATTGTATAACATATTAACAAAAATAAGAAGTAAGAAAAATAGCAATAACAATTTCTAGGTTTCATCTCTCCGAGCCCTCTCTCATTTCTCTCTAATTGTTGCCCATACATTCATCTCTTCTCCCTCCATCTTCAACACCTTATCATTAGTTTCATTGAAAAATAGAAACAATGAGTCACTTAGTGCTATTGACACACCCCGATCGAGATCAGGGCATGCTGGCCGTCATGTGGAATTGACGTAACCATGTGCACAGTGCGGAAGCAAAATAAAATAGTAATATAAATAGTACAGATAAATAAAACTAGCTTACATAGAGTAATAAAAACAAGTGCAAGCGTAAGTGCGACACTTATTTCAGAGCATAAAGCCTAAAGCAATCCGGGAGAAAATGACGCAACAAAAGTACACCCGAAGGTGGTCCTACGCTGGTGATCGTCTGTCAGATATGCCGGGGAAATCCTCAGGGAAACCACCACACGTGCTAGCCAACTAGAACCTGGAGGGGCGCAAAACAAAAGCGTGACTGGGCAAAAACAAAGCTTTTCGAAAACCATTTAATAAATAAGTTCTAACCCCTCGCCGTAAAACCTATATACTTCCCATAAAATAGAGTATATAAATATATAAATCATGCTCAAGAATACGCCATGCCAAAATCTCAAGGTAAAATGCAAGTGCTCAGGTAAAATCGAATCAATATCATCTAATCTGTCAACCGGAGTCACCTAACGTGACCTGTACGGCTGAATCTAGAGCTCAAATCTCAATCTCACTATCTATACCTGCACACGAGTTGGAACCACCTAAGGTCGTCTATACGACAGGCTTGGGTGTAAAATAAGTACGCTTTAGTGCTACGATCACGTGAAGGCTGGGCGAATAATCGCGGGTTACCTACGAGTCGGAACCACCTAAAGTGGTCTGTACGACAGGATTGTGCACCTAACTTGGATCTAAGCTGAGCATGTGGTGCGGGAGGTGAACAACACGTGAAGGACTGTGCCTAACTCAGGGCGGGAGCACTGACACCGGGGGTGCAGGTTATGAGCTCTCTATGTATCACAAATCACCACTAAATGTAAACATAAATCACAACTCACCTGGCACTTACCTGTGCGTCCGCAACACCAATACACACACATATACAAATGCAAGTAACTATGCATAACAAACGGCAATATAATATATGGCATTTAACGAATAAACATTTCAAATCATTTTCTGGGAAAATATAAGTATATAGGTATATACGGAAAACCAAAAGCCCACTCACTGATATGTGGAAGGGTCGTAACCCCCCTACCTTGAGTGACCACGCTCGTCCTCGGGATAGGTATCACCTATATGCGAAACAACTATAAAAACGTTAATTTTAAAGCACATAACCCAACTTAAGGAATAACTTTTCATACAATGCTCAAATGGGGTGTATGAATACACCAACGTGATCTACTCAACCTCAGGAACATCCCCATATTTTTAAAATAATTTTTCACCGTCGCACGCGCCGGCCACGCGCAGGCACGTGCCTGGCACGCTAACGGCATCAACTGACGCCGTCAGGTATATTCCGTTATCTCTAACGGTTTCCGTCAACGGCGTCAGGAATATTCCGTCAGATTTGACGGAATATTCTGTCATCTTCTCCGGCGAGGCTCCAGCGCCGTCGCCGGCGCTGGAAAATCGGGAAAATTTCAAACCTTTGTAACTTCTTCGTTTTTCACCCAAATTTCACAAAATTGGTACCAAAATGAAGCTTACAACGAAAGGAACACAACCATACCATTTTCAAGTGCTAAAATCCACAAAATCTCACCTGAAAAATCACCCCAACTCCGGCCAACCTCGAAACTCGTCATCCCGACGTCCAAAACCTTCAAACGAACCACCCCGAGCCTCCTAGGGACCTCACCAAGCTCCCTACAAGCTTGAAATTCCCAAAAACATGAGAAATTACGTGTGCATGAACAGTACCAAAATCGGGCAACCTCAGTTCAACGTGAAAACGAAGGTATTCTTACCTGAAATGGGTATGGTTGGACTCCCACGAGCCTCACGAGCATGAATATGTACTTTATACCTTCGTTCTGTGAAGGTTTGATAGGTTTATGTGTGTGTCCGTACGATGGAGGAGGAAATGGGAAGGGAACTGGGCACGGGATAGGGTGTGGGTGTAGGTTAGTGTGTGTGTGGCCCAAAAACATGCCAACAAGGAACCCAAAACAACCAATAAACATAAAGAAATCGCACTAGGGGTAAAATTGTCTAATGATCACTAGTGCTATGGTGTAGTGGTATTCAAGTTTGAGGTTCAATTATCCCTAAAGGTGGAGTTGAGCCACATTAGTGCTAGCTTATTATGAGGCTTAGCCTACTCATTTACCCCTTAGTATAGACAATATCGTTTGTTAAAAAAAAAAAAAAATAGAAACAAGGCAGTGTAAAGCGAATTTTGAGTTTCAAGGAGTAAACTAGTGAGTTATGAGTTTTAGGAAGCAAATTGAGATCAAAATCGAGTTCTAAAGAGTAAAGTGACGATTTTAACATTTCAAGAGGCAAAATGGCAGCAAGTGTAGCTAAAAATAAGCCTATTTTATTTGGGCGATGGGCTGCTAGTTACATTTTCATGATGTTTGCTAGTATTTCAAAACAAGACATGACAAAAAATTGTGCATTATTGATAAATTTGTTATTTAAAAACGTGTTAAATAATGTGTATTAAATGTGAAATGTACAAATGTACGTGCATCATATGTTCGTATTTACAAAAAAATTGTGCAATTTAACGAATTACTAAAACATGTATAGAAAATGAAAGTATTTTAAAAAAAATACATACATGTATAATTACTAACTATGGAAGGCAGTTGAGGTTTCACCATAAAATCAAATGAGAACATCTTCTATAGGTTGCCTAATTGAGATCCTAAATTACAGAGTATGATAGGAACTATTCTTTTATGAAAAACTTATTTTTTATGGGTTGAAAATTATATTAACTTCCTAAATTAGAGAGTATGATTGGAGTAAAATTTAGAAGGAGCTCCTAAAATAATTTTGTAGATTTTAACTAAATTTGATTTTAAAACAGAACATAATTGGAGAATCTTTGACAAGAATAGCTCAACAATGAGAACTACTATGGAGTTAATCTAAAAAATAGTACTCTTTATGAATTTTCTGTCATCTCATGTTTTTGATGTAATATTTTATGACGTTGGCACTTAAATTAATGTTAAACTGTGAATGTCACTTTGAGAGTCTCCGTAATAGTTATCGCCCAACAATTTACAAACATGTACAAAACTAATGACTTTGATGGATAGACATTTATTTTTAACTCATACCATCCTGAATTTTTTTTGAGATACCATCCTGAATTAGGGTAGCTTAAAACGGTAAAATAGGCATTCAACTTTCAAGTGGTATTTTGGTCCAAATACACTGAAAAATTAGTACCTACCGGGAATGACAGCTCATTTGTGGTCCCACTCCAAAACAGTGGATTCCGTCTCTTCAACCTCAAGAAGCTATGCGAGCAGAGTCAGCAGAAAGAGAGAGAGAGAGAGAGAGAGAGAGAGAGGGGCTGAGCCGCCGAGAGCCGAGGCAGTGAGTGGACTCGAGCAAAACTGGAGCCTGCCATGGAATTGTTAAAGTAACTTCCTTGAATCCCATCTTTAATATACTGTCTCTAATGTAGGAGCCTGTTTCAACGGACAATTAAGACAAGCAATCTAATTTAGACGACCTAATCATATCGATAGCGACCTTCAAGAACCATCACCCCCTTTGTATTTCTTCGTTCATCCATTTGTTTCTACTAGCCCTTTTGGTTCACTTTAGGGAGTGGAGAGTTGAATTCCGCTTTCTGGGTGTGGGAGTTTTATGGCATAGAGTTTCTGGATTGGGAAATAAGTTCAATTTATCAGATTGGGTGGTGATTTCTTTGCTGAATTGGTTAAATTTTGAGTTTATAGGGAAAAATCTGGACTGGGATGTGTGAGATTTTGGTAAATTTCTTGATTTGGAGAAGTGGGTTTATTTTTCCGAGTTGAATTTGCTTGCCCTTGCTGTATTAATTTCTGGGTAGAGTGTAATTTTGATAAGTAGTTTGAAGAGGAGCAAGAGTGAGTTGAATTTGTGGAGAGATAAATTTGTGTGGGTAGAGTGAAAAATTGATGATCAAGTTCTAAAAGTCCAGGAAAAAGAGGGGTTTTAGAGGAATGTAAAGTTTTGGAGAAAGATTGAGAGGGAAATTCATAGATAGGTAGGCTTTGATGCTTGGGATGTTCAATAGCTTTTGGCCATTGCTGTAGTGAGTTCTGTGCCTGCAATTGCTCAACCAGCAGAACAGATAAGGTACCCTGATATTTCAGCATACATGGCTCGCGGCGGAGAGATTGTGGAGGAGCCGGTGGCGGTGGCAGCAGATAATCGAAGATATGATCTATGTTGCAGTGGGAAAAGATGTGAAAGATAGCAAATCAACTCTGTTGTGGGCGGTACATAATTCAGGAGGGAAGAAAATCTGCATACTTCATGTTCACCAGCCAGCTCAGATGATTCCCTTGAGTAAGTCTGCAGTCACACACATGTTTTGTTTGGTGAATGTTGTAATAAGAATCTTGTAACTTGTTGGAATTACTCTGCTGATATAATTTGTTCAACTCACAATTACTAGCTTGATAATGCTGTCTGTTGAGGACCATGGTTTTCGGTTTGATGGGTAGCACGAGCAATTCGAGAAATTTGCCAAAAATTGAAGCAAAGTAGAGAAGTGTGTATATGTATATATATAAAGTAAATTAGGCACAATCAAATGTTTCATGAGTTGGCTGGGGTTTGAATCAGATACTTTGTATGCCAAAGTTTCTATTCTGCCTTTCTGTTTTAGGGATTCCGACTGGATTTAATTTTCTGCTGTTTCCTTGATTTGCAGTGGGGACGAGGTTCCCAGCAAGCTCACTGAAGGACCAGGAAGTTCGAGCATATCGGGAAATAGAAAGGCAACACATGAATAAGATTCTCGATGAATACCTTCGTATATGTCGCCAAATGGGGGTATTTTTTCCTCTGCCTCTTCCCTTGTTTTCTTGTACAAAATAGAACAATTTTTCTTAAAGAAGTTTGAATAACAAGATACAGGTTACAAAGTTAGTACATCGTAGCATAAAAGAATGTATTCTTGTATTGTCATATGTTGCAAAACTTAAAATTTTGTTAGTTTAGGAGATCCCTTTCAAATGCTTTGTAAAATGCCAAGTTTTATGATATATTTTGCTTTCGACTGTCCAATGTAGATTCGGGCTGAAGAAATACATACTGAAATGGACTGTATTGAGAAGGAAATTGTGGAACTCATCTCTCAGCATGGGATCAGGAAACTTGTTATGGGAGCAGCAGCGGACAAGCACCATTCAAGGTATTTATGCCTTTTGTCTGTTATTTTTTTAGTCCTATGAACATTTTCAAATGTTTAATTACCCCGGATGTGCTTTAATGATGCATTTTGTATACATCCAGCATAGATGAGATTTTTGTTTTCTTTCCCCTTCTGATGGGATTTCCAACAGAAGAGTTTATATATGAATCCTTTACATTGAGATTGCTCAATCACAATTTAACATTGCAGGAAAATGATGGACCTCAGGTCCAAGAAAGCCATATACGTCCGCCAACAAGCACCTGTTTCCTGTCACATACAATTTATTTGCAAGGGGCACCTTATACACACCAGGTTTACTTGAAACTTCTTAGAAAATAAAACTAAAATACTAAAGAAAAAGGTTTTTTCTTGATACTTCTGTTATTTATCATTACATACAGAAAATCCAAGCTTCAAAACATCCATATGGTTTTTAATTGTTTGCGTAATGGTTATTATAATTATAACTGTACAAATAAATTTCTTCTCAACACCTATTTTCTTTTAAATCATGAACTGTTGTTTGATTTTGATGATCATGAATACTAATGCATATACTGTGATAAAATAGGGAAGGGAATTCAGATGGACTTGATACAGAGATTCCATTGCTGCGACCAAGTCCAAACACTGATATAGAACAGTCACCGCACCACTTTAGATCACGATCTGTTACAATCAAGCGGAATAATCGACCAAAACTCACCAATCCAGCTCAAGATTTGTTCCGCAGGGTAAGATCGATAAATTTGGGGAATGGAAGCAGCACAACAGATGTCACTTACACAGATGGTACTGACGGGTTTTCAACTCCAAGATGTAGTTATGAACCAGGAGCAAGTCCTGTGGAATGGGATCAGGTATCAAGTAGGAGTGTTTCAGGATATTCAACAGGCTCTTCTGCTGGATTGGGCGATTTAGCTTTGATTCAGTATGAGAAAGCTGAGGGAAGTGAAAATGGGTCAAGTGACTCACACTCACTTTCTCATTTTAAAGATCTTAATCACTCATCCCCTCCCAGTGTATTGGTAAGTGCGAAACTACCCTTGGGCGTGCATAGATTTTTCATGAACCATCTGCATGTTTCATGTGCTGAATTTAAATTCTGGAATTAGTACTTCAACTGTCACCTTAGAAAGAATCAACTGAGTTAATTTAAAACCCTTGATGGTCTAGCAGGATGGAAATGTAGATGATACTCTGTACGATCATCTTGAACAAGCGATGTCAGAGGCTGAAAATGCAAAGAGAGATGCATTTCAGGAGGGAATTAGGCGTGGGAAAGCTGAAAAAGATGCCATTGACGCTATACGGAGGGTAAAGACTCTTTTCTATTTGGCGCTTCCTTCTACCCTTTCCATTTTCCCCCAACATAAATCATAAAAGTTATCTTTTCTTCTCTTCTGTTCTCCAATACTTACAGATGTAACATACACATTAAATTGTTCATCAAATAAGGTTATATCTAGAATTGGCTACGTTCAGTTGACTATCATAGAACTTGATCATCTAAGAAGCGAATATGAACAGAATCCTTTGCATTATTCCTAGCAAAATGTCAACTTTTTTCTTCTATGGTGGTGATTCTTAGAGGCAGAGGCATATGTGCCAACACTTCCCCAACCCCCTAATATTTCTCTGATGCTTGTAGTTGATCTTGTACCACTTAAAGTGCTAGTGGCTTTGGCATTGCATTAAACTGCATAAAATTATTGGTTACATGTAATTTGGAAAAGAAAACATAATATGTTCCATGATCTCTGTTCTTTTTTCATAGCCAAAAACTCCGTAAACAGAAACTTGTGAATTGTTGTATTCACAGGCTAAAGCATCAGAGGTCTTATATAATGAGGAGTTGAGACAAAGGAAAGAAATGGAAGAAGCACTGGCAAAAGAGAGACAAGAACTTGAAAAGATGAAGAAGCGACGAGATGAAGTCATGGAAGAATTGAGGGCTGCCCTAGATCAGAAATTAGTACTTGAGAGCCAAATTGCAGAGTCTAATCAGATGGTCATGAGCTTGGAGCAGAAGGTTATCTCAGCTGTGGAACTTTTACAAAATTACAAAAGAGAACGGGATGAGTTGCAGGTGGAGCGTGACAATGCACTTAGAGAAGCTGAGGAGCTGAGGAAAAAACAAGGAGAAGCCTCGAGCGCACACATGCCTCGGTTCTTCTCTGAGTTCTCATTGGCAGAGATTGAAGAAGCAACTCAAGGCTTTAACCCATCTCTGAAGATCGGAGAAGGGGGATATGGGAGCATTTTTAAAGGTTCCCTACGTCACACCCAGGTTGCTATAAAAATGCTAAATGCTCAGAGTATGCAAGGCCCCTCAGAGTTTCAGCAAGAGGTACGATAACCTGAATATTGTATGCTCCCCCTTACTTGCAGTAATTTATATTAGGGTTCGAAGTGAAATTTTATAATCAGGAGTCTAATTGTTATGGATAGCCCTGTCTAGGCTAAAGCCTTGAAGCGAGAGGCGAAGCCTCACAGGACCTCAAATTTTTTATATATATATAATAGTATTCTTTGTAAAACAAATTAACCAACAAGAAAACAAACAATCAAACTTTCTGGTACCAAATTGAGATTAGATTACTAAAAAGCTTACTTGAATTTTGAAATAAATTGAGGTATGAGATTGGGGTAAATTCGAAATATGGGATTGGGATTGAGAATTTAGGGTTTGAGGAATTGGGCAATGGGTATTGGGTGAAATATAGCAGAGAGACTCGGGTATTGGGTGGGGAAGGAGGGGACCTGCTGTGATTATAAAAAAATAAAAATTAGACTTGGCCATAACGACATTGTTTTAGGCCAGGTCATTTATAAATAAAAAAAAAAAATCCCTCTTCTTCTTTGTGCGGTTGTCTTCTTCATGAAGACGCCGCTGCAACACAGAACCAGAGCAGAGGTTTCCCTGAAAATTTCAAATTTCAAGCAAGATTTTGGATTGCTGAAGGGTCCTGAAAATTCTCAGTCAAACACGCATGCCCCGACCAAGCCTAGGCGAGTTTCCGCCTACTCCACAAAAAAAAAAAAACAGAGGCGAAATTGCTGCCGCCTGCCTCCAAGGGCCGCCTCGAGGCGCATTTTTTAAAACACTGATTTGTCCACGTACTAAGAACATATTGGGGTAGTTTCTGGGTTGATGCATTTAATAGGTTACCTTAGTGATTTCTTGATCATCCAGTGGACTAGCCAAGAAACTAAACCTTTTTTAGGATGCATTTCTTGTTTCTTTGATGCAATAATTTAGAGACCGTCGGATTATGTCATATTTATTTACTTTTAAGGGCGGGGAATGTGGATGAATGAGGGAGAGATGACGAAGTTGAGAAAGTAACGAATGAGATACAATGAGCTGAAAACTACACTAATTATATATGGTTTTCATATAGTTTCCTTTACTATACTATCACCTGTTCTCTCTCTTTGTTGCATTTCTATCTTTACTATGTACGTTTAGAGTCAATAGCATGTGCTGGCATCGCCGTTCAGAAGTTAAAAATTGAGCATGTGAAATGTTTTAGATTTTATTGCTTTGCAGATGCCAGAACTTTCAATGTTAGGCAGCTTTTTTCCTTTGATGTCTTTTTTACAAATATATATTTTACAACTTAAAATTGGAAGAATTAAACTGCTTGGAAAGTACTTTAATTTGCATGTTTGCCAATTTACCAAATTTAGTTGATGCTTCTCAGGTGGATGTATTAAGTAAGTTAAGACACTCCAATCTTGTCACACTCATTGGTGCCTGCCCAGAAGCTTGCACTCTTATCTATGAGTATCTCCCAAATGGAAGTCTTGAAGATCGACTCAGCTGCAAGGACAATGCTTCCCCTTTGTCATGGCAGACTCGAATACGAATTGCCACAGAGTTGTGCTCCGTCCTAATCTTTCTCCATTCCAGTAAACCTCACAGCATAGTGCACGGTGATTTAAAACCGTCCAATATTCTACTAGATGCTAACTTTGTTAGCAAACTCAGCGACTTTGGAATCTGTCGTCTGTTGTCTCGTGGGGAGGGTTCAAGCAACAACACAATACACAGTTGCATAACTCAACCAAAGGGCACTTTCGCATACATGGATCCTGAGTTCCTCTCATCAGGAGAGCTTACGCCAAAGTCAGATGTTTACTCATTTGGAATTATACTACTACGGTTGCTGACTGGGAAACAAGCTTTGGGGATAACAAAGGAAGTGCAGTGTGCATTAGATTCCGGAAAGTTGGAAATGCTCTTGGATCCTTTGGCTGGGGATTGGCCATTTGTACAGGCTGAACAGTTGGCTTGCTTGGCATTAAGGTGTTGTGAGATGAGCCGGAAGTGCAGGGCGGACCTTGTATCGGATGTCTGGAGGGTACTTGAACCCATGAGGGCTTCATGTGGTTGCTCATCATCATTCCTGTTGGGTACTGAAGAGCATTTCCAACCTCCTTCATATTTTATTTGTCCCATTTTCCAGGTAAGCTCTGTTCATTATTTGATTATATATTGCATTAACATTGTCATAATGACTATATTATATTGATTGAGAAATACTTGATGTATACACAGGCTTATCGATCTACAAGGAATATAGTTTCCGAGCATTCTTATTTGTTTGAAGAATTTCATTAATTAACTGAATATGTCGTCAAGTAAAATGCGTTCCTCTTATATGCATACTTGCAGGAAGTCATGCAGGATCCGCATGTTGCAGCGGACGGTTTCACTTACGAAGCAGAAGCTTTGAAAGGATGGTTGGACAGTGGTCACGACACATCGCCCATGACAAATCTTAAGCTTGAACACAAGAATCTCGTCCCTAACCACGCTCTTCGTTCTGCAATTCAGGAGTGGCTGCATCAGCGTTGATCTCTTTATCCATTTCTTTGGATATTTTTGTTCAACGTAGATATTTTGATGACTACATACATACATACATATATATTCACGTGTAAATAAATTATGTGGCTTACAGAAGACTGCACGTATTTGCTCCAACACTTTTTGATACTTATTTAAAATGATCATATTCTTGCTTGATCATGTGTATGTTTGACATTGGTTACGATTATGATTACGGAAAAACGATGTTTATAACAGAAACACTTTTTCATTTTTATTTATTTATTTATTTTCGGTTGAACGTTTTATTTATCATTTTAAAAGCAATTGCAGAACTCCAAAAAAGAAAAAAAAAACACTTGCAAACATGGTTTTGGTCACGTGCTTTACATAAATGACTTTTTTAACTTTACTCGTTTTGGATAAAGGTTTTATTTTTATTTTTTTACAAATGATATTATTTATACTGAGAGGAAAATGTGGGTTAAATTTCACAATGAGTGAAGAATAATGTTATTTAAATTTGTATTTGACAAGAATTGAAAATAATACTTCTTACTTACAACTAAAGAGAAATACCGTTAAAGTGCAGTATTAAGGGCCGTTTCAGAGAAAGCTTAAAAAGCAAACGTGCTTTAGGAACTTGACAACCAAGCACAGCAAAATACAAAGTTGGGCCCACCACATGTGACTAAAAACAGTCCATCCGCACATGTGTGGAGAGCTGACCACAGAAAAGTGAAAACATTTGCGGGCCCCACATTATGGCTTTAGTGCCGTATGTTTAACGAAACATCAGTGCTCCGATGGGCGCAACCCTGCGCACTGCTACACGTGTTCGCTTGCCAGTGGATGGTAGGACGAAAGTACGAAAGGACGGAAGGAATAATATTATTACCGCTTACTATGATGACATGCCCCTTATGTTCTGACACGTTTCTATGTTTACGGTGCACTCGCATGTAGGGAATCTCTAGTCTGTAATAATTTATACAGCCGTCTTATTTGTACGGTCCATACGGAGGCTTCAGACCAGTTCGGACAGTAACCGGTTAAAAAAGTCCATATGCTCTCTCACGCCCTTTTGAATTCTTAGTGTCCAGTTTTTCTTGGTGATCACAATCCTATTTTTATATTTCACACACTTCGACCGTCGGATGGAAAGAAGATCTGATGCGGAGAGGAAAACATAGAGAAGTTTTGAGGTCTCAAGTACAACTATGACCAAAGGAACATACGGAGGACTGGTCCCTGTTTACATAAACTCATTCAAAATTCGTAGTCCGTTCCTTCGTTATTAATTTTAGCCTTTTAATGGGCTTAGCAGCAACCTGATTAATAGCACAATATTCCAAATATTTGATCAATAAAGATATTAACAAAGATCATTTTCAATAAAATGCCAAATTATAATAGTCAAATTACAATTGACGACTAATGTAGCAATATGAAGTTTTATGTCAAATTTTATGATTCTCCAACTGAATTGTACAATATTGTTTTCTTATTAATGTAGAGTTTTAAATGGTTGTATTTATTTTAAAAATTGTTGCCTTTTTTTTTATTGGTTGAAAGTGAAATAAAGAATCCACCATTAAACTAATCAAAATAAATTTGATGTTAATTTGAATCGAATAAAAGTAAAATTGATAAATCAAATACACAATTGACATATATTAATAATCATTTTGTACGGTATTACTATTGTTAATTTGATACACATTGATAATTATCAATTAAAAAGTTAAATTCACAATTTGATAACATAAAATCGTTGCTTGATGTATATTGATAATTATCAATTAAAAAGTTAAATTCACAATTTGATATCTTAAGATCTTTGCTGAGAACAGTACCAAAGCCTTACAGGTGAGTGTAAATTAGGTTTTAATCGTTCAAGTATTGCTGCGCAGCTAATTTATTTTTGTTTGGTCAAACCATGAACATTATGTTTCAAATTACCATATCTTGATAATAATCGCCTTTAAAGTTAGGAAAATAACTTGGTGATTTGTGAATTGTGATATGCGTGCGAACTCTTTTGAAGTTCCGTGATGAGTATTATAAGAAAATGGTACAGTAAAGTTTTCTCTAAAAGTAAGATGGGTGCAATTCAGAATATTAATCACCCATTAAGATATTTTGACAAAGAAAATTTGGGAATATATCAAGGTTTTAAATAGGTGTTAGTCAGGTGGCGAGTTGGAACGTAGCGTTTAGGTGACTAGACGGGTGCCTAGGCGCAGTAGGCAGATTTAAGTAAATTTATTATATATTGTATAAATAAGTGTCTACTTATACTTAAAAAAACACATAATTATATCAACATATATAAATTGCAAAATAAAATGATATGTAAATTATAAAGTATTAGGACGTGTTTTATTTGGTAAAATAAGGGGGAAATACACCCAAAGACAAATTGACTCAAACCATCAGAACAAACATATCTTGTTTTACAAATACCAAGTAAATCATCTATAGGAGCAGAAGCAATCCAAGCAGGAGGATCATGGAAAACAAGGCTGCCCAAATCAGTATTGAAACTCCACATCGCCATCTGATTAGCAACACTATTTGACTCCCTAAAAACTTTGTTCAACTGACATCTGGCCAAACTATCCATCATTGTCCTACAACTGTTCACAATTGTATGAAGAGGATGGAAGTTATCTGATGAATTCTGCTTAAGCAAAGTAACAGCAGACAGAGAGTCCATCTCAATAATGAGATTAGTAACACCTTTTGCAATCACAAGCTGCAATCCAAAATATAGAACCCATGTAAAGTATTAGGACATGTTGAAAACATGGGAAACAAACATATAATGAGTGTTCATTCAAGTATTCAACACGTCTTTTACATTTTATTGACAAAATAGAATGCAAAAAAAGAAAGTTATTGATTTTCTGTTTAAGTGAAAGTCGCAACCTAGTCGGGTGTCTAAAAGGATTTATGTAGGTTGGGTGGGTGCTTAGACGGACTAGGCAGGTGCTTAAGCAGGTTGAGACGCACTTTTTTAATTTTCAAATGCTGTGGAACTAATCGAGGCGGTGACCAGCCGCTTGGTGCATAGGCAGAATTTTTATTTTTTAACTAACAATTTTATCTAAACTAAAGAGGTGAGGGAGTGTGCTAAGTCTCATATTGGGTTAACAATAATAATGTGATTCAAATTCACTTTTAGTGAGAATCAAATCTAAGATCTTCCCCTTACAAATGACGAGGAATACCACTGTAACCCTAAACAGATTTTATTTTTTTTTTATAGCACTAAACGAAAATTTTTAGAACAGTAAGATATATATAAATTTTTGCTTAAAATAGATAATGAAATTTATGACATTGATTACTCACCAAAACTCTTTGGCTTAGCTAAAGGGGTCGCTAAACCAAATAAAAAAGATGAAATCAAATCCCAGTCAAAGCACAAAACCCAGAAAGAAAAATTACTTTTCAACTTTCTTTCGTCTAATTTCCACGGTAAACCGCTACAGACTACAGTTACCCAGTCCACAGACGGCGCGTGCAGCGCACGCCTTCAGAGTGCCGGTAAGCAAGCTCACATTCGACACCGCCAATGCACGAAAGCGAACCTGTTCAACGGTTACCCACCTACACGGCCAAACCCCCAAAAACGACAACGTGGAAACACAAAACGCAGACACCATCCGCGATATTTCTCCCCCTCTCTTTTTGCCATTCATTCCCCCACAATTTTCCATCATCATCTTCTTCTTCTTCTTCCTCTTCATGTTCCTCTGCAGCTCTGAAACCCTAAACCCCCTTCTGGATTTTTGGTAGTAGAATTAAAATTAAGTTCTAATAAATACTATTTGTTACTGTTTGGTTGCTGTGAATAAATATGGATTTACACAGAGGTGTGTGGGTGGTGGTGGGAGTGCTGGTGGTTAGTCTGAGTCTGAGCTCAGCTGGGGACATTGTCCACCACGATAATATTGCTCCCAAGAGGCCTGGATGCGACAACAACTTCGTTCTGGTAATTTCACTGACTTTTTTGGAGTTTAATTTTTTATTTTTTTAGTTTAATTTTTATTTTCTGTTTGGTTGCTGAGAAAACTGGGGAGGGAAAAGATGGGATTTTTGTTTGGGAAGGATGCATTGGGGACCAAGAAGCTCAATCTTGCTGTTTGGTTGCTGAGAAAATGGAGCAGGATTAGGGGATAGGAAATTTCTTGTGAATTTCCAAAGTGAGAGTTTAGTTTTGATTTCAGCGGCGTGGGGATCGAGTAGTTGCTAGTAGAGATATTGATTAGGTAAGTAATGAGAGAGAAAGAAAAAACTGGAATGTCTGTTTCAAAGTATCAAGATTTTGTGATGCTTTTGGGAACAAGAATTTCGAGCTTGCTGTTTGATTGCTGAGAAAATAGAGCCAGATTAGTGAATACAAAATTAAAATGTGAATATCCAACTATTTTGGAGTTGGAAATGATAATTTAGTTTCGATTTCAATGCCACGGTCATCCGGTAGTTTAAGCAATCAAAGCTGTCGCAGACAAATTTCATACTTTTCTGCTCAGAATTTCATATGTCTGTTTGATGTTATTTTTACTTTGATGCATTTTTATCTCTCGTCTTCTGTGTCCTTAACAAAGGAGAGATGTAGAGGAGGGACGAGTGACGATAGACTGCAAATAGAATTAGAATTAGATTTTTCTTAGAATTGTTAGTGTTTACAATTAAAGTCAGTTAAGCTGTCTTCCTCGTGTCTTCATGACATTTCTCAGTCTCTTCCCTTTCCCATCTCCCTTTTTCATCTCTCCGGCTATCCTTAATTTGGAAAAGAAAACACAACATAACAGAAACGTTACCAGATGGGTGGTTAGATTTTAGGCAATACCTCTGAGGCTCTGACTTAATAAATTTTAACATATCTTTTCAAGTTTTCATTTGATTCTTTATCTGGTTTCTAAGAAAATAATCATCTAGGTTCCTTGAAAATTATAATTTTTACTCAGCCAATTGTTGGAAATTTTTTACCAGACTCAACCAATCATAAAATAGAGATTTTGATTAAGAATTTGTGAAACGAACCTACAAATGCTCCGGTTAGAAAATGCAATTATGAAACAGAGGCTCAAGGCAAAAGGGGTAGAGGAAGACTTGGATAGAGACTGTAAGAAAGTCACATGGAGTACTTGGAGCTAACGAAGACTTGGGGGAAAACCGAGTGCAGTGGCCTTCTAGGATTCATACAACCAACCCCGCTTAGTGGGATAAAGGCTTTGTTGTTCTAAAATGAAAACGAATTTCGATGCAGTTATTAATATTTTATTTCAAATGCTTCCTGGACATGTCTTTACCTTATTGGACATATCTTGGCCAACCATAAACAGTTACGTGTAAGAACTAAGCTTCTATTTCTTTGGCTGCCACAAGTTTAGTGGAATTCAATTCAGCTAAGGATCCAAGATAGTCCAAGATGGTATATTGGGATAGTTGAATTTATTTTATTTTTTGTTACCCTAGCTCTGTTACAGTTAGTCAAATGTAGCCTAAGCTTGTAAGGGAGGCATTGCACTTTGTTTTCTTCACTTATGGATATTGTGACTACAGCCTTGCCATTACATTTAAATTCTGTTTTGGTCTATAGGTAAAGGTCCCAACTTGGATCAACGGCCTAGAAGACGCTGAGTATGTTGGTGTTGGTGCTCGATTTGGACCTACCTTGGAATCGAAGGAAAAACATGCCACCAACACTAGAGTGGTTCTTGCAGACCCCCCTGATTGTTGTAGCCTACCCAAGAAGAAGGTAATACTCGATCAAAATTTTCAGTTCTTTCTTAACTTACACTAGAGTTTCAGAGCCATGAAAGTTAAGCATCTTCCTAATTAAAGGTGTAAGATATGCTAATTCATTTTATGGGTTCATATTGGGGATTGTGTGGATTTTTTGTAGCTCACTAAAGAGGTCATTTTGGTGCACCGAGGAAATTGCAGTTTCACAACCAAGGCAAATATGGCTGAAGCTGCTAATGCTTCAGCCATCCTCATTATAAACAACCGCACAGGTAATTTTCTTTTCTTGATATAAAAACCTTTTAATCCTAGAGTAAACCTTTTAATCCTAGGTAAGAATTTCCATTACAACCGTATGAGTTATAAGGGGAAAAATTATATCAAGTGCAGTAAAATAAGATCTTACCATTATAGAAAAAAACGGTGGTAAAAATTGATTGTAAAGTTAAGTTTCTGTTGCATAAAGTACTGTTGTCTGACCTACAGAACTTTTCAAGATGGTTTGTGAAAATGATGAACCTGATGTCGAGATAGGCATACCAGCTGTTATGCTCCCCCAAGATGTTGGTGCAATCTTCGAAACTGATTTAAAGAACGGCTCCATGGGTATGGTTTTCTCTCTGCTATTATACACGTAACTCCCCACTTAGTGGGAAAAGGCTTTGTTGTTGTTGTTGTATTATACACGTAACTGTTTATAGTTGGCCAAGCCTTATCTTGTTTAAAAAAAATAGTTATCTTGTTTTTTTATATCGTTATCAACTATTTATTCTGAGTGAGTTTTATTTTGTCTCTGTCATTGCCTTTGAAATGTCTCTCTTCAGTTTCTGTGCAGCTGTACTCTCCTTTGCGTCCACTGGTTGATATTGCAGAAGTTTTTTTGTGGCTTATGGCTGTTGGTACCATCTTGTTTGCTTCTTATTGGTCTGTGTGGAGTGCAAGAGAAGCAGCTATTGAGCATGAGAAGCTATTGAAGGTTATATTGATTCCAGAGCAGCTATGTAATTTTTAGCAGTTATTTTACATGGGGCTTGAACTCTTTCAGGGTAATTCACTAAGACCTTGATCAAATCATATATGGTTTGGTCCTCTTTGTGCAGGATGCTTCCGATGATTCTTACCTATCGAAGTTGATCGTTCCAATGCTTTAGTGGAGATTAGCACCACAGCAGCAATCCTCTTTGTCGTGATTGCTTCATGCTTCTTGTTTATGTTTTACAAACTCATGTCATTCTGGTTTGTGGAGATTCTGGTGGTTTTGTTTTGCATTGGTGGGATAGAGGTACACTCTCCTTTTTATAATACAGACTTTGTCACTATGATTACAACTTTTATTTAGGTGTAGAAGAATTGTTTTAGTTATTATGCACACCTCTTCTGAGGTTAATGCTGAACCTTGCAGTCCCTTCTGTTTGCAGGGCCTGCAGACTTGCTTGGTGACTTTGCTATCATGGTATACTACTTTTGTTCTTTTGTTGAAGGTTTTTATTCCTTACAGCTACAGGGCTGTCTTTGCCCTCCGACCCTTATTTACTCCAGAATGTGATCTAATGATTTGTTAAAAGCATAATTTTGACTTTTGAGCTGTTCCTTATGTGTGTAGATGATTTTTTTTGGTAGTATGAAGCTGACAGTTAACCAAATATAGTTTCAGACGGTTTAAACGTGCTGGAGAATCATATGTTAGGCTGCCAATCTTTGGAGCTGTTTCATATCTGACGCTAGCTGTTGCTCCCTTCTGCATAGCATTTGCTGTTTTGTGGGCAGTGTATCGCCGCATTTCATTTGCTTGGATCGGTCAAGATATCCTTGTAAGAAATTAATTCTCTTTTCTTGGTTTTAGTGTTGATGTGGTATTGTGGTTATATATTTCCATTGGAACATCCAAACATTGTCAAGGGCAATTTTGCTTCTGTTGTTTTGTTTTTGGAGTAAGCAAGTCAAGCTGGTGATACTTTGATTAAAAAAGTATCTGACGAGGTCTAAAATCATACTTAAAAGTTTAAAATGGTTGGGGTATCATAATTTTGTTGTATATTCTTATGTTAACACATGGAGGTTTTACGGAAGCAAAAGTATGTTAAGGGTTCTCAAAACTGGACAGCTATATCTTGTCTGCTTTGACTGAGTGGAACTATCCTGTCCTGATGTTGCGGGCATTGCTGTATTTTATTTTGTAAGGCCTTTCAAGTCCATAACCCGTAAGTAGGCAAGTGAAGCTGGTGACCCATAAGGATTGATGGATTCTGTGAATGTTTCCTAAATTAATAAGTTTGTTGCAGTTTGTCTGTGCTACATATGTGGGCAGATATTTGGAATTCTTACTTCTGTACGTGGCTTGTTCGTGTTTTTGTTTTCCATCTTTCCTTTTTAATTATTCTTACGTAGTCTGCTCTTAGCTAGCAATTTCAGATTTATCTTCTTATGCAAAAAATTTAGTATTTAGAATTGTCTAAATGTGATATGTGCTGATTTGGTTGGCTCCTTTTTCCTCCAAATATACTGCTTGTTGATTACTATTTAGTACCTGAAGAAAGAAATCCTATATTTGGACTGCCCATTTTGTCTTTACATAATCCTTTACATTAATAGGTGCAATTTATCTTTCACTTTCAAAGTGAGTTTGTAATCTCTAAAATGTTGGTAGACGCTAACATATGCTCATACAAAATCAGGGTATTGCACTGATAATCACAGTTCTTCAGCTTGTTCGCATACCGAATCTCAAGGTGATATTTCAAAACCTTGTTTTTTTTTTTTTTTTTTTTTTTTTTTTTTTTTTCTGGTTCTTGTTGAGAATAATATGAATTTTTAGTTGTTCATCAGTTATTTGTTGCCTTTTTTGAGGATTTTATGTAAGAAATGCAAGGAGGTACTTAACTAACCTATATTGATTTTTTTTTTTCTGGGTTAAGTAAATACTTTGTCTTAAATCCTTATTGTATACTTATTTTGTTGAGAAAAGATTGCACCAGAATTTTTTTATTTATTCATCTGGCAATCATATCTAGCTTTTCTAGATTATTTTATAACTTTTCTCTCATTAATTAATCAGGTTGGAACAGTTCTTCTGAGTTGTGCGTTTTTATACGACATCTTTTGGGTATTTGTTTCTAAATGGTGGTTCCATGAGAGCGTAATGATAGTGGTGAGTAAATCATAAGAACTCTCTTCCTTCCTTTCTGCCACCCTAAATAAAGGTTGCTTTTTTGACTATGGAGACCTGCCCTGGAAGTGATAGAGATTTAAGTATTAATCTTTTATCCTTTACAGGTGGCTCGTGGTGATAAAAGTGGAGAGGACGGTATACCAATGCTACTGAAAATCCCACGGATGTTTGATCCCTGGGGCGGCTACAGCATCATCGGATTTGGTGATATTATCTTACCAGGATTGGTTGTAGCCTTTTCACTAAGGTCTGAAAAGAGATTCCAAATATATCTTCAACATCCCTTTTAAGTCCCTAGAATTGAACCTTGAATGTCACTGTTTCAGATACTGTGTTTTGATTCTGTTATGTCCTTTTTAAATTGCATAAACGGAAAGTGAAAACATGCTGAGATTGATTAGGCATTTCAGTTCTCGCATTAATCACGAAGTCTGGATCAATTAATGATGAAAACCATGGAACTCATAATTAACAACATGAGAGCAGCATCTAAGATACTAGCAAATTATCAGCTATTACTACAAATGAGGGTTTGTAATGTTGCACATTGTCTCAAAAGTTCATTAATCTGATTATTGGTTGGGTAACCTTGCAGGTACGATTGGTTAGCAAATAAGAAGCTCCGAGCTGGTTACTTTTTGTGGGCAATGACCGCATATGGTTTAGGTATGAAATGTGCTAAAATTTGGGGCATTTTGCATTCTTTTTCTTTTTGCTAAACAAGAAATTCAGAAAATGCATCTGATTGAGATTGAGCTAGATTCAGAATTTTATCGGCATGGTGTTTTCTATTTGTATATGGAAAATAAAGGTCAATGGATTCAATGATGTTTAGCGTAACAGACAATTGCCTATTTATGAATGGCTGGTTGGCGATTTGCAATTGCAGGTCTCCTTATCACGTATGTGGCTTTAAACTTGATGGACGGCCATGGCCAACCAGCTTTGTTGTATATAGTTCCGTTCACACTTGGTAAGACGCAAGCTTGGCTAATCTGCACTAACATCTATATTGCTAGTGCTCACTGAAATGGAATTAGGTTTCGTGCTGAACGTTTGTGGCGAAACAGAATCCATGAGCAGCCGTTGACATAAGCTAGTTGCATTTCTGCAGGTACCTTTTTGACTTTGGGACACATGAGAGGGGATCTCAAAGTTCTGTGGACAAGAGGAGAACCGGAGAGGCCATGCCCGCACGTCCATCTGCAACCCTCCTCTCAATAAACGAAACTAGGAAACAAAGGAGTAGTGTGGCAGATTAGAAGAGTAGTAACTCAGAAAACCTCTGTACTTGTGATAGTTGTAGAGGATAGCAAATATCTACGAAGGTTGTAACTGATATAACATAGAGACATTTATAACATCCGGACTCATTGTTCTTATAAGTGGGTGTCATCTTATAGCTTAGGAGACGACTGTCTGATACCAACTACTCCACGCAGATTCATTACCTTAAACTGTGACTCAGATTAATTGCACAAAGCTCGTTCAAATATGTTTTTGCTTCTTAAATTCTTTAGCGTGTCATTGATCAAGAAAAACAAAAAACAGTCTTGATTAGGTAGCAATGTCGATATTTCATGCTTCAATACTTGTGGTGCATAGCATTGAGAGCGTCTGGTGGAATTGGTGTTCCCACGCTTTTGCTGACAAGAACCTTAATGTTATTGAATGATATTAACTATCCAAATGCAATGCCAGCCTTGTTCATCTTCACCTCATGTTTTAGGAAACATGAGCTCTCTTGCTCATCTAGACCTCTCTCATAACCAAATTGAAGGAGAGATTCCGCAATCTTTTTCTAGGTTATGCAATCTGCGAACATTGGACCTTTCCTACAACATTGTTAGTGGTCATCTTCCCAAGCTGTTTCAGATATTGCCTACATGCCCTGATCAGAACTCATCCAATCATCTTTATGGATCAATTCCTAATCCCACAAACTTTTCATCGATAAATGATGCATCTCTGTCTAGAAATCAATTGAGTAGAACAATACCTAAAGGCATTGGGCAAATGTCTAAGCTCGAAAATATCGACCTTAGAATGATTGCTTTGGAAGGGGTGGTTTCGGAAAGCCTCTTCTCCAATCTCTCGAGATTAACTTTTCGGATTTGTCCTCTAACTCACTAGCTTTAAGCTTCAATTCTAATTGGATTTCTCCTTTCCAACTGGTTTACATAAGTTTGAGCTCTTCCACAATAGGTCCGTATTTTCCAAAATGGCTTCAAATTCAGAAAAGTTATTGGTATCTTGAAATTTCTAATGCAGGAATTTCCAATATCCTTCCAAGTTGGATTTGGGACAGGCTGTCTCATGATCACAATATTGGGTATATAGATCTTTCTAACAACCGAATTGGAGGAATAATTCCAAATTCAAGATTTGAGTTTCTCTTATATTCCAACAACCAATCCCTTCATTCCTTTCCAAATCGGTAATTCTAGATCTCTCCAACAATAAGCTTTAAGGGCTTCTATTTTTTTTTTTTTTTGGTGTGTCCAAACAATGTTACTAATTTAGCCTTTCTTGTTCTCTCAAGCAACGATTTTTATGAACAACCTCTAGATTGTTGGACACATTTTGCAAATCCAGTTATTCTAGATTTGAGTGACATGCTCTTTTTGGAAAAATTCCTACCATATTGGGCTCTTTACTTTCAATTCAAACACTGAAGCTAAACAAGATTGGATTTGTGGGACAATTGCCGTCATCCTTGAAGAATTGCTGAAATCTAAGTGTATTTGATGTTGGACTTCCAAATTTGGCTATCCTTATCCTCTTTTCTAATTACTTTTATGGAAGCATTCCTTCGTAGTTATGTAATATGAAACACATTCAAATTATGGATCTCTTTGTAGACATCGAAATTTCGGTGAAATAAATGTTCACCAACACATTAAAATTTCAACATGTTAGGGCATATATGGTATGCGCCATGTGTCTCATAAATCATACACATGGATATGACTCATCAAAATTGGACTAGTCATCAAGAAGGACATGTGTCAACACTTAGTGAAAATTGAATTATTTGGTTTTAATTTAATTAAATCAAATTTTAATTAATGGAGTCAAATCACGAATCGGCCCACAAATTGAGTCTTGGTTCTTTCGTCAATTAATCATGCCCACGATCAAGGCCAAATCTTTATGTAGTCAAGGCTTGGAGAGTCTATAACTAGGAGGTTCCAAGACAAAGAAAGAGGTCCAGAAAATCATTCACGCTCAGACGCTGAAGCTTTGAAACTTTAAAGCTCTCAAGCACTCAAACCCCCCAAACACTTAAAAACTCAAGAAGACTTGGAAACCCTCTATGTTCTTTGTCAAACCCGTGAAGAACCAGCAAACACCCCTACAAGTGCCCGTTCCTCCATTGCCATAAGCCAAAACCTTACGGCATCCGTTCATCCAAGATCAAGTCATTGCGACCGTTGGATTAAAAACACTACACCTTACATATCAAAGATTGTAACCCTAAATTACATTAATACAAATATTCTTTGTACACCTGTTCTCTTGTCATTTGTTCCAGGATTTTCGGGTTTACAAATTTGGCACGCCCAGTGGGACAATCTCTGCCTTTCATCTTTTTCTTTGCTCAAAATTCACACACCGTTGAAACCAATGGCTTGAAAGAAGGAACAAGCTGCTCTCGCAACCAAAGGAAGGAGCGTAAGCACTTTTGTTACAAGTGAAGAATCTGTTGGCGTCACGACACAAAGTAAGGCAAAGACGGTGACCATGCTTCAAGCCACTTCCAATTTAGTGCTGTTAAGGAAGCAAGAGGAATGTCAAAGGTGTAAGCCCGTCATCAACCTAGCCTCTCTCGAGGCACCAAAGCATGCTTTTGCAACACGCAGGAGGACTTCTCGAATTGATGAGCGGCGTTCTTTGGCTTCAAAGAATTCAGACACAAACTCAAGCACGGGGTCATACCACGGATTGTCGACTAGTAACCATCGCTCGGATACTTCTTCGTCATGTTGCGACTCATCTCTAATCCAAGCGATGGCCTCAATAAAGCCTCAAGTTGCACCCGTGCATGCAGAAAAGAACATGACATCTTTCGCAACGAAGCGCGACTTGGTTGGCATCGTCTCATGAGGCAAGATGAATGCAACATGACACACCACTTCGGTAATGTTTCCACCAAAATCACATGAAGGTCATCGTAAGAATCAACCAGCCATCAACCAAAGCAAGTCACAGACTACTGTTGCCATGGCACATCCATCTAAATCACGTGAAGTACGTCAAAAGCACAAGCCAATCTTCTCTACTACTTCACAAGGGGCAAAGAAGCTCGTCTCTTGAAGTAATGAAATGTGCTTGCCAAAATCCAAGAATCTAGCTGAGCGGTCACCATTACATATCTCCAGTGTTGGCTTAAAAGAACGCCCAGACCTAGGCTCCATGTAGGTGATGATGGTGAGAGTTACTTTTGCTGATGAACAACTGGCTTAAATAGCTCAAGCAATTGAGATGCTGACAAAGATTGTTGAGGAGAAAGATATACAAATAACGTCGTTCATGAGCAAGCTAGAAGAAAGGCATGGCGGGGAGTCAAGCAAATGTGCACCTCATCTAGAGCAAGGGGTGTGTCAAGAATTCACCTTCAACGGGAAGAAACAGTCAAAGCCTGATTCCATTTCAGTGGCGTCTTTGTCAATCCAACAACTCTAAGACATGAATGCCAACACTATCAAAGCACAATATAAAGATGCTTCCAAAAATTCACTCATGTACTTCAAGCGGTACACGAAGAAACTTGATAATCTTCGAATGCTAACTAGGTACCAACCTCCCAAATTCTTGCAGTTCGATGGAAAAGGCAACCCTAAACAACACATTGATCACTTCATTGAGACATGCGATAGCACTGGTACATATGGCGATTACCTTATGAAGCAATTTGTTCGCTCACTTCGAGGCACCACATTCGACTGGTACATAAACCAAAAACTAGAGTCAATTGGCAGTTAGGAACAAATGGAGAGAGAGTTTCTCAATCACTTATTCAGCACACGTCGCACCGTCAGCACGATGGAGCTCACCAACAGAAAGTAACGAAGGGATGAGCGAGTGGTCGACTACATCAGCCGTTGGCGTGCATTAAACCTTGATTGCAAGAATCATCTCTCGGAGCTGTCTTCTAAAGAGATGTGCATCCAAGGAATGCATTGGGGTTTGCAGTACATCTTTTAAGGGATCAAACCTTGTACCTTTGAAGAACTAGCCACTTGAGCTCATGACATGGAGTTAAGCATTGAAAGCCATGATGAAAGGAATGATACAGTTGGTCACAAGATGTCATCTTCAAAGAAACCCATCACGGAGTCTATGGAGATAAGTGTTGGTCCGTTCGAGCCCTCGATATGAGACAAGAAGGGTGTGAAGAAGGCTAAGTCAAGTCAAGTCCAAGAAAGGCCACGATGCACACTGAAGGGTGTGAAGAAGGCTAAGTCAAGACAAGAAGGGTGTGAAGAAGGCTAAGTCAAGATAAGAATTATCCTTTTCCCGACTTAGGCGTCGCTCCTATGTTGGAAGATTTGCTCCAAAAGAAGTTAATCGAGTTGCTAGAGTGCAAGCGGCATGCAGAGATGAATCGCACTGACAACCCAAGATATTGCAAGTACTATCGTGTCATCAGTCATCCGGTGAAAAGTGCTTCGTGCTGAAAGATCTTATCATGAAGCTAGCCCAAGAAGGAATCATCCAGCTAGATCTAAACGATGTGGTGGAGTCAAACCATACCACCGTCACTTTTGGCTCTTTCGACTCAATATCATCACCTCGATCGTTGGGGGTATGCTATAAAACCGTGTAAGTCAAGCCAAATAAAGTTGAAGAATGGACCAAGGTCATTCTGAGGAAGAGACACAAAAGACATACGCCTTATTTGCAAGTTGATCAATCAAAGATGAGGCAAAGAAGCTCTCATTAACCTCCAAAGCGATATGAAAATGTTGAAGATGATGAAATTTCGACACGGTGCGTGATTTCTTCCCCGATGACTTCTTCCATTGATCGATCAAGACTCCTTGCTATAAAGTTTGCAAAGAATGCTTCTCCAAGATCGCTTGATAAATTCACATCAAAAGCTCCTTGCCTGCATGATCTGAAATTTGCAAAGTACTGTTGTCTGACCTACATAACTTTTCAAGATGGTTTGTGAAAATGATGAACCTGATGTCGAGATAGGCATACCAGCTGTTATGCTTCCCCAAGATGTTGGTGCAATCTTCGAAACTGATTTAAAGAACGGCTCCATGGGTATGGTTTTCTCTCTGCTATTATATACGTAACTCCCCACTTAGTGGGAAAATGCTTTGTTGTTGTTGTTGTTGTATTATACACGTAACTGTTTATAGTTGGCCAAGCC